TAAGGAGGAGGTCGACAAAGTAAAGCAGGCCAATAAAAGGAAACTCACGGGTAGACCGGCACAGGAAATAATGATTTGGACGTGGTCACTTCTGGGAATTAGCACAAACTCACCCGAATTAACTCGATCGCTAGAATGCTTCGATAAAAGTTTTCCTCCAGAAAGGCAGGAATGATATCCGCTAAGCTCTCTTGTAAATCGCGGCCTGGGTCCCAACTGTATCGGTTCGAATTTTCGACGTGCATTCGAGCAAAGTATCTAGCCAAGAAACTCTGCTCAGCCAACATTTCACCAGGGGGAAAGATATTTGTTTCGGAGGCAGAGACGCCACCTGCGGCATTAGCTGCCGCAGAGAACTCAACATAGCGACCGAGGAGGGCGTTGCAGATAAGGGGTCTCAGGGGTTTTACCTCGGAAGATAGTAGTTGAAGCCACCGTATAAAGCCCAGACAAAAATAGCCCAATGCTCTGATATCGCAATCAGCGATGGGGCCAGGTAGAGGGTGGACTGATGATGTTTGGCGGGAAGACGGAGAAACCTATTGACCAACAGAAGGGTTCTGAGATAAAAGCGTGCAATGCACTAACGGTAAGGGCACAGGCGTGCTGAACAGAATAGGAAACAGTGAATTATTGGCTATAGACGCTCACATGCAAACAAATATAAATGTAAATCTTGGAAAAATGGCAGAAGCGGTCTTTAAACGGAAATTTATTCGTCGCAACGGCAACAGCAGTTTAAGTAGTGCAGCTCATGTACCCCTAGTCCCAGCATTTTGTTCTGCAAAAAAGGTGGTTATCGGGGGTTTGGGGGGTGGGGAAATAGGATAGACTGCAAGAAATTTGTAGATGTGTAAAGTAAAAAATTTAGTTGAACTTGTTTCCCGCGGCTGCTGTGAGTAAGTTTTTCCGAAGGTAATGTGCGCGCGGCGCTTCGCGCAGCGGATCATACTGATCTAACTTCAGGACGGTAAGTTGGACCTCAGGTAAATTTAAGTAGACAACATGCTAATCACCATTCCTATTTTTTCAGGAATTTCAAAAAACCTCATTTTGATAATCATTTTTTCCGAAATATATTAAAAGATAATACAGATTACGAAAATCTACAGATAAAAATCAACAACATTACTAAATGCAATAAAATAAATATGCAAATAGCAGTTATTGAAGTATATTCCATTGCCTATCCTAATTTCCCACTTACAAAACCGCTAAAGGCCCCGTTTCCATAGGACAAAATGCTGTGTCCAGGGAATAATGAGGTGTACTACCTAAACTACTGTTGTCGTCGCAAGTAATAAGACCTAAACCAGTGTCAGTGACACGTGCCATCAAAGTCGTCGCTGCAGACGTATCATGCACGTGAATCGATCAGGAAGTCGAATTTTGGCATGATTTTCCACGGTCCGTCACGTTTGACCATGCCGAAGGCCAGTTAGGTAATGTTGAGGTGGGTTCACAATTTCTGGCACTTTTCCTATAGCTAGCGAGCGGCGAATATCATACCGGATTTTTCCTGCTGTATTCGTGAACCACATTTGTTTCGCGGGAGAAATCCCTGCTCTAGATAGTTGTTTCGACGATGAAGAAGAATTAGAGCAAAGATTTTCCGATCATGTTGAACAGCGAGATGCATTTTCAGTTTTCTTTTACTTGCCGGTTCCTTTTCCGTTTAAAGGGATTGACAGTGGTCGTGTCCTTATAATCCTCATGAACTTGTCATTGGTGCTTCATCTCCTGGAATCTCGTTGTAAATTCCGCCATCAAACGGGAGCCCCCGCGCTTATAGAATTCCGTCGATTATCCTTCATAGCTGCAACGATGCCCGATAAGCGGGTGAACTAGGACTTATCCACAAGGATGTTTTGAGTTGGGCACTGGAATATGGATCCCGAGGTAGTAACATTACGTTTCAATAATCTCCAGGAAGTAACCTGTTCCTACATCTTATCTCTAATCCTCATCCCAAGGCTCATAACTATAGTCTTGCCTATGGTCATTGATGTATTCCTAATCGTAACCCTTCTCCCTAGCACAAACTCTTGGAATTTAGTGTAATACTGGACTGGACTATATTTCCATGCCCGAATTAACTCCCGACCAAAGCGGTCATTTCACGGCAAATCTAGTTTTCTAGTGATCATCGAAACCTTACTGAAAACGTGATCAGTAGTAATGTTAACAAAGTGACCAAATGATGACGCTTGAAAGTTGGCGTAATTTCACCCGTAGTGCTAAAGTGGTCTCTATTTCCGTGACCTAACAAATGGCAGCCGACAGTTAAACTTCGCACCTCCAGGGACTTGCCAGGTGCCTTCCAAAGACTATAAGACGGTAGAACAAAGGGAAAGCTTAAATCCAGCTTCTGTTTAAGGTATTTGACTTGGACTTGCAATTTTGATTCGGCATTGCGATTACAGAAGGCATAAAGCAAGCATTGCGCTGAAAATTCTTTGAATTCTTTCTTTGGTTTCTTTTCTTGTGATAGTAAGTATCCATATGTTATACTGATTTTTGATCGATATGCTCGATAAATTCGC